AAGCCCAGAGAGGAGAAAGGCCCTGCAAGAGTAGCAACAGGGCAAACTATAGGCCCGCCGAAGGGGAAGAACACCTTTCATAGATGAGGCAGGTAGGGGGTGATTCTGTCACTAGAGTGACTTTCAGGGCAGTGGTGAAAGACAGAGGGTAGATTGAAGAGTTTTAAAGAGGTGAAGTAAGAAAAATGAGAGAACCAGGCACAGATTAATGGTATCAGACATTTGAAAGACACAAGAGAGGATAAGTGTCAAGAAAGATTAATTTTATTACTTTTGCAAGTGAAATGCATTCTTTTTTCTTCAGTTATTCATGTTGACAAGGCTGCTACAAGAAAAGAATAAATGGAAGTGGTGGGAGGACCCGACGAGGAAAGAACGTATCTCTAGAACGAGGTAAGACCACGTGGGAAGCACTAGTGTGCAGGATATGGGCCAACCTGGAAAAAGAATGTTAGTCTTTTATTAATAAAAGAACGTGAGGATGGGCATGGAGTATGGGAGGATGGGCATGGAGTATGGGAGGATGGGCATGGAGTATGGGAGGATGGGCATGGAGGAGGGGCACAGAGTCTGTAACGGTGGATAGGCAAGAAGTCTCTATGTGAGGTAGGGCATGGAGTCTGCTATGTGAGGTAGGGCATGGAGTCTGCATGTATCAGGGAGTAAGGAACACAACAGAACATATACCCAGAGACCAGAGAAGCTGAAATCACTTGCTAAGAGGGAAGTATTGTAGGTTGAAGAAGAAGCTTGATGAGGTCTGGGTTTATCATCGAAAGAAAAAGAACTAGTGTTGACCAGGCCAAGTAACCATTGATGGAGGGGGCATTTAAAAACTCCTCTCTGCAATCATATTTTATAAGAAAATAAGTTTTCTAATTTGACTTAGGAGTTAAAATTTCATTCAGCAGTGATTCAAATAGTAAAACAGGAATTATTTTTCCTTTCCTTATAAAATCTAGTCTCAAATTGAGGTTCACCAGGCAATGGCAAAAAAAAAATGCTAATGAAAATGTATTTCTTGTATTTACATAAAATACTGCCCTTATTACTACAAGCAGAAATGTTTATCTCAAAATATCTGTCTGATAAATGTTGCGTTTCCTGTTTTAGAGATGAAAGCAACTCGGTATCATACAGGAAAGCAAATGGCATCTTCACTGCATCACAGTGAAGTGTGGAAGTGCCAATACTCAGTACCAAGTGTGTGACACTGAGATAGATTGTTATTTTTCCCCATGTCATGAATTGGTTTGAATGCAGATTGAAGATATCAAGATTTTAATCTGTACCTGTGTTTGTTTTGTATTTAAGAAATGTAAATAAGAATATACTGGATCTATGGAAACAAAAAAGACATTCTCTTCATCAGGAAAAAAATCAACTAAAGGAACTGTGTGAATACTATTATTTTTAATCACAAGATGATTTTAGGCACACTATTAGTAAGTTTCGGAAAACATTTAGGGAATATGATCTAAATTTTAAGGTGATCCTTACTGAGAATTTGACTCTAACTCAGTTTTGACACATTACCATTTGTGACAAATAAAAATGTCTGTTGTCATCCCGTTTTTAAAAATCCACATGGATCTGCAAACATAGAGGTTAACTGGAGCCGACAGGTCAAGTCTTCACCAGACTCTGAGAGGAGTATCTGGAGTAGCTCAGAAACGATTTTATTTGGCCATCTTTGGTTTCACAACACCACAAGTTAGTTAAAACAGTGGCTAACCCATCAATATTTATGAAGAACACAGGCAAGAAAGTCTTGCCTAAGTCACTTTCACTTGAACGCAATAATACTTCTGAAAGCATAAAATGTCATAATAGAATCAAACAATGTGAATCTGTCACACAGCACATTCAAATGAAAACAAGCATATGTTCACACACATTATACACACGAGGCCCGAGCCTTCAAAGTGATTCAATAGACTTAAGAACATGAATCTTTCTCCACTGTCCAACATAATACATATATGCCTCAAATTGTACTATAGTGCAGTAGATGTGTTATTAATCATTAAACTAGGAAGGAATGAAAAGTTTCAAATTTTTCAGCTATTGATGTTCCTGTTCTGCGTATGTAAACATCACCACTTCACATCAGCAAACATCTGGGAGTAAATAAGAACTGCAGAAATAGACAGGTCTCCTAATCTCACTATTGAATTTGAGACAAGAAAACTGGGCCCAGGGAAGGAAAGTTTACAAAATTCAGGTGAAATAAACATGAAATTAAATGGCAGTAGCAGAGCTATAAATAGCCTCATGTAACCCCAGTGCTCAAGCAGAATCGGACCTGGGCCAGAACTTTAAGAATCATGCTGAGTTTGCTCTATTATCACATTTAAAAAAACGTCTTTCATAACAAATGAGTAACTACATAAAACTGTAATTACAGGAGGGAAGTTATTTTAATTAAATACATTATGTAAACACCTTAATCCATATTATTCAAAATCTGCTATGACTAGTAGTCAGATTCATGAATTATTTGCTTTTAATGGTTTTTTTTAGAATCACCCTTACTGAAAACACAAAACAGAAGCAAATAAAATAAAATACTATGAAGACACGAAAATAACCAAAATTTAAAGTAATTTGAAGCCCATGGCCTTCCATCCTAAATGAAGCAGGCACACGTGAGCATAGGCTTGTGTCTATCAATAATCACAGAGCAAAGTAAGTCATTGTGAGAGCTCGTTGCTTTATATCACTGCTTCTAGAGACTCATTCCGAAGAATGGAATCATCTGGATCATTTTTATTGCCCCCCTCAGTCTCAAGACTGTCTGCACAGCACTGCTGGAATGTACTCAGTCTGCACCTTCCTTCCGTCTGACTATCTGTGTCAGGTTTATTTATAGCCGATGTCTTCAAACAGAGCATTTCCAGGTACGAGAAATAAAATCTCTACCGTGATCCTAGAAACCTTCACAAATGGCCTTTTGAAAAGACAATGAAAAAAATCTATAATGCAACATGTGCATTATGATTCACTGAGCATCCAAAGCACACTCACCTTACACTCTAGTAAGCATGTGTAAAGAGCCCGGGTAGAGTTACAGAAGTGATGTGCGCCCTGTGGTTCTTTTTATGTAACTATCTGGCTACTTTCGGATTACTGTCGCCACATCCTTCTTTCTCTTTTCTCATTAGGAATTCTCTGAAATTTAGGCACCCTCTTTTGTTTCTTACTGAGATGCCTTTCTAGTTGGGAGCTTTTTTCCCTAATCCATTACAAAAGCAGGCCATGCTTCCCCCTGCTGGGAAAAAATTAAATTACAAGGTGCATTAGAACAATTTCCTAAGTCTCTAGAAATTTAGTGCTTGGGAAAGAAAAATGCCAGGAAGCTGGGTACTTTTAGTGTTCTTTTAACTGTTTTACTGGTCAGGAATATCCGTGGACCTCACTCTGTTAAGACCTTCACCCATATCTCTTAATTTTGTAAGTTTTGAAAACACAATTAATACACATCATTCATAACTGATGAATCAATAATTAAGCCATCCGTCCCAAAGAGAGCTCCGGTTATCAGGTCAGAGAAGATCCTGAATTTGTATTCTTTTTCCATTGCGCACTGAATGGAAACACTTCTAAAGAATAGACTGATGTGAACAATTGAAGAAGACATTTTTAGTCTGTTAATGCCTACTAAGTCATTTCTTTTCAATACTCCTATAATGATTATACAGTTGCCCTTTAACAGTAGAGGAGAGTATAGTTCTTGACTTTGGCTTTTCACTTTCATTTGTTATAATTTGATTTTTAGGTAAGTGGTAAACATGATTGCATTTCACTCCCCAAGTACTCTACAAAGCCAGCCTTTCCCTTGAAAAACAGTTTAGATATTTCGAATCTTCCATATTCTGACTATAAATTTCTTCCTGGTAGTTTTTCATGAAATACTTTGTTATTATAGGTCATAATAAATAATAACCCAGTAAAAATGTCAAATAAATCTAATGTCTGTGAATCATATGAGGAGCAAATTTTTCTACAATGCAAAACGAACTCTCAAATCTATTTTAATGCCGAGGAGCTGGACAAGGGGAAGATGTCACTGTTTCATTTAGTGGGTAAGACCTCCAGCTACGAAGCTACACTGTAGCTAGCCAGTTTGAAGACGAAGCAGTTCATTATTAATAAAACATTGAGCCAAAATTCCGCCGTTGTGTTAAATAGGCATGTGCAGATTACTGGATATCTGGAGTGTCTATAGTAGCTAAAATTTTTCCACATAAATGGAATAGTTGGGGTTAATATTTCTGACAGAGAAGTTTTCATGTGTGCCTCTTCTCAAACGACCTTTCAAAGCAATGCAAAAGGCAAGACATAGATGCCCCTTTGGGAACCAAATCTCCGCGAACATCACAGTTACACAAAAGAAAACGCACACCTGGTTAAAAAAAAACAAACAGTTGATCAATTATGGAGCGTTCCTAGGGACCAATATCTCGCAGAGTACCCCATCATCACGTTTCAAATACGTTTATAAGCACTTTAGCCTCTGCTTACCACGCTCACGTAAATACACGAACATGCATACTTTAATGCTGATTAATTCTAAGACTTTCCAGGGGGGGAAGACTGATTAAAGGGTATCAAAATCACTTCGAAACGCCAAAGGAAAATATATATACATATATAAAATAAATAACGCGGATCTGTGACCAAGACGTTCTCAGAACACTCCATGGATCGATCGCATTTACTCCTGAACTGATTTCCCTGGCTTCTGTGAAGTGAAAAGGTCCCGGTGGACCACCTGACACTTGCTGGTTTCCCTGTCCAGGACCCTAACAGGTCGCATCCCCCTGCCATTAGACTTCAGGGCTTCTGTCTTTAGCAATTGAGCCTCCGAGGACCCCGGGCTGCCAGCGCTGCGCTCCTGCCTTCGGAAGCGGCTCCCGGGGACAGTTTCTGCCCAGCAGAGCACCCGCCCTCCCCAACTTCGCCCTGCCCGGGCTGGCGGGCGCTGGGGCCGGTCCTACCTTCCGCCAGAAGGCGCGACGCGTGCACAAAAGATGGATCCAGGCTATCCTTCTCTGCCATCAGCTCAGGCAAGTATTTCTCTTCTCCCATAGCGCGGACTTCGGACCGTGCCCGGGCCAGGCGCTAATTCCGCCCGCTCGGACACCGCGGTCGGTCCCTGGCTCCCGCGGGGACCGTCCTTCCGGCAGGCAGTGAGCGCAGCTCTCCCGCCTGGGGCTGCGCAGCCCGCGCCGGTACCTGCTTCTCCCGCGCCCCTGCCCGGCTCCAGCCGCGGCCTCAGCTGGAGAGGCTGCCCGCGCGGCCCGCCCCCGCCGGCCTCCCATTGGAAGCGGGGCCCGGGGGCGGGGCGCCCGCGAAGACGGCGGGCCATCATTGGGCGGGGCCGCACGTCGAGTCGCCTGAGTGACAGGAGGCTGCTGCGGAGGGGAGAGGGTGTGCGAAGTGCAAGCGCTCTCTCCGGGCCGCCTCAGCCGGCGGGGTTCTCAGGCCTGCCTTGTGCCAAGGGGCCAGGGAGGACCGCCTGGCGACCGGGATGCTGAGAGTGGGAGAATGTGCGCGCCATGCGCGAGGAGGTGATGAACGTCACCTGTGTCCCCGAGGCACAGGTGTCTCTCCCCTCGCGGATCTCTCAGCTCTGGGGCAGGGTAGGAAATCTGAGACCAAACGTAGGTTGTGCCTAGTGTTCCCCATGACCTACATGCATTTTGGGACAAGGGGATGTCCCCTGATGGACAAATGAATAGGTTATTAGGAGATTTTTGTAGTACAGCAAAACGCTTCCAGTGTGCATCATCGGGATACGGAATTAGTTCGAGGGATCCACCCATCCCCATAGAGAATTTACTCACCATATAAACTTAGTGGGGACAATCGTGAATGAAAGAAGGTAGATGATACCTAACTCCAGTCGCTCTGATGTTCTCGTACTTTAGAGGTGATGGTCTCTCTCACTGTCATGGAGAACGTTACTGAACTACTTTATATCTGCCTAACCTTTATTCAAATGAGCATTTAACCCTCAAGAATCACCAACGAAGGAGGGGGAAAAATACATCCTTCCCTTACAGACGGAGCTCTGAAATATACCTTGCCTACTTCAAATGGAATGAGTCTTTTCTTTACTTTGTTGTTGTCTTTTCACAATTCCTTTTCAGTTCTCCTTCTAAAGTAATGACCAGACAAACTTTTCCTGCACATAAAATCTGCTGGACATTTTCTAAGTTCTCTTATTTCCCCAAAGCTTTCCCTCTTTATTTATTTTAGATGAAGTTGGGGTATTTGTGTGACTCTTTACAAAGTTAACATGCCTCAAGTTATCCATAAGATAACTCACTCCATCTCACAAAAACACTGAAAAACATGGGCCCAAAGATATCGGGTTTTGCTTATGTAGTTGGGGAATAAGTCTCTTAGCTGTGCTAAAGCTGAGGCTAAAATTCAAGTATAAGTAATGCCTAAGCTTCAGATGGCACAGTTTACCCTACTCTCCTGTATGCTAGATATTTAAAGCATATGTATCCATCTAATTAGTGTTTATGGGTAGTGAAAGGGGTCTCGGGACTGGATTTGAAATTAGAGGATCATTGCCAGACAAGACAGACACATTGCATTTCCTCTCATGGTGGAGGTAGAGATGCTTTCTAATGAGTGATGGCAAAAGGAACCAGGAACCCGTGACGAATCACCAGAAATAATAGAAAATTAGCATGAATCCCAATCATTAGGATAGTTTGTGAATTTAGTACATGGTGGATATCATAAAATCAAAACAAATAAGCTACATTGACCCTTAGAAACCAGTTTGCTTATTGTCCACTTCCAAACAGTATGAGTCACCAAAGACAAACCCAAAATGCCCTGCCCAGGTGCCCTCATCCACATTTAGATCCACATGTTTCCAGTAGGTGACTCCACATCCCTATGTGTTGTCCCCTGACTCACATATAGTTATTTTGTGGCCACCAAAATTGTGTATTAAATATTTTAAAAGCAACCTTAGGATTGAGGACATCTTATAAATACAAATGTAAATAAATTGATAACCTATAAATAAATTATTGTTGAATAGAGTATTTGTGGTTATACATAAATAAATTATAACTGCGTGTATACTTCCCTCTTCTGATGCTAGGAAGAATCAAATCATTGCTTAATTGATTTTCAACCTGAGTTCTAGTCCTGAAAGACTTTTTAAAATACGATTTTGCTTATTGTACCATTATTTCAAAAGTGGTTTGTTATAAGAAACGTCCCAAGTCAATTAGTATCCAGAGGATGAAAAAGGCACACACTATATAGAATATGTTCCGTGATGAATGGGCAAGCTATGTGTTCAGTCCCTTCACATAACCTGTGAGAAAGGCCAGTATCAAAGACATTTAATCAGTCTAATCACACTAGTAAAATCTACACATTGTGAATTTTTCAATAAGATACAACATTTTTATTTCTTTCATTGTTCTTTAATCAACTCTTTGGATACACACTAGCAGAGCACTAACTCACAATAACAATCTGGAGAGATGGATCAGCCATCAAGTAGCCTTGATCCACTTACAAAGACTGGAGCTCTCACACCCTCATCTCAAGCTTAGTGTCCCCAAAATGCCTGTAACCCATCTCTAAGGAGGGCAGAGACAGAAAGATTCCTAAGTTTAACTACCTTCTGGTCTAGCTGAGATGGTATGAACCGTGTCTTCAGGGAGAAACAGTCACTCAAAGGAATAGGGCCTCTGAGCACCTGTAGGAGCATAACCTCACAAAGATGCATATGAAGAAAGAAAGAATCACGGATTAACAAAACTGCCAAGGCCGGGCGGTGGTGGCGCACGCCTTTAATCCCAGCACTCGGGAGGCAGAGCCAGGCGGATCTCTGTGAGTTCGAGGCCAGCCTGGGCTACCAAGTGAGTTCCAGGAAAGGCGCAAAGCTACACAGAGAAACCCTGTCTCGAAAAACCAAAAAAAAAAAAAAAAAAAAAAACAAAACTGCCAAGGATTAGTAATTTGTACAATGATATGAAGTCTGCTGTCCTCCATTCACGTGTTTAATATTTGTTTAGCCTTCTAATGAGTAGGCACAACACCTCATGTGACCTTGAACTGAAATACTGATTCGCTTTCATTTGCTGAAGAGTCTGGTGGATTCTCATTAGTGGAAAGCTTCTGTTTTGATGCTCAGTGTCTTTGAATTTCATTAAATTCGTAAGTCGTTTATCAGTTCATTTTTCTAATAACTTGCACAATATACTTTAGGGTTATAAAAGGGAATGGGGAAGGCAGGCAAATGTCTCAACAGGTACAAGCATTTGCTACTCACGAACGGTATCAACATATCCCCCCCCCACTTTCAATAAAAACATAAAACAAAGTACTTTTTGGATATTTTATTTTTTTGTTTTTTGTTTTTGTTTTTGAGACAGGGATTCTCTGTGTAGCCCTGGTTGTTCTGAAACCCACTCTGTAGAGATCTGCCTGCCACTGCCTCCGGAGAGTGTGGGGATTAAAGGCCTGTGCCACCATCACCCAGCTTAAAGTATTTTTTAAAGGGAATGAAGAATGATATTGTGGCTGTACTGACTATCAATAGCAATGATAATATATACTACAAAAGATCTCTGTTTTCAAGTCATTTGCTAGCTAGGAGAAGTTAAGAGAAGTTGGGGCAAATATGACCAAAATATATTGTGTTAAAGTCTCAAAGAATTAATAAAATATTTATTAAAATAATGTAATAAAGGGGGAACGAAGGAGAAAAGTCATTTGTAAAGTGTTCAGAGTCAATTTTTTCTATGTGCTAAAATGTCACAGCACAAGTTAATATTCCCAAATTATATCCTCAATATGTTTGTGCTGGATAACTTTAAAATAGGCATGTTATACCTTAGGGAAAACAAGTGTATAATTTAAGTACAGCAGAAGAAGGACAGAAAGAAAGGAACTGGCAGTTGAGGGACCACCACCGAGTTGTAATATTGCTGTTCTGAATACTCACAATTTAAGCAAAAAGGCCAAAGAAGAACCTGCCTTCACAACCCAAGTAATACATACATTTCTGGTGTTGAAATCATTTATTTTAAGGGAATCTCTGGACAGCTACCCCCTCTACCTCTTGACACGTTGTTGGTGGTGCTGATAGCAGATTCCTTATGAATGAAGAGAATGTAGTTGTCATTATTACTCCAAGGCAAAGTTATTGACTGTCTTCTTAATATTAAATCTGATAACAGTTGACTTGTTGCACGGGTATTGATTGTTTCTCAAGATCAACATATTAAAGGAAGGGATTACAGCAGTAAGATATAGTATTTTCTGTACACAGCAAATAAAGATCTGATCTCCATTGTATTTGGTAAAAATTAAGGAGACAAAGGTTACAAGCAGATTCAATTAAAAAAACCTTCAGATATACTAAAACATTTTATAAACAATGCATTACAACTAATACAAGGGAAGAAAGATTGGGTTAAGTTTTAATTTTAATTTAGGAATTACTTATGGACATTCCTGGAGGAATTGCCTAATAGTCTCTTAAGAGAATACCACCTCACTCAAGGTTTTAAATCACTGCAAGTAATCAGCTGGTGTATGTTTTCTCATTCTTGACCTGTGTGTTAGGATACTGCTACACCTGATACAATCATTGTAATGTTTTGCTGCATAGAATAAACGTACAGTGTTATATAAAATATTTTTATGAATTAGGTACCAAATGTAGCAGTAAATATTTCAGAGACAAAAATTAGAATGATGTGGTCAGGGCTGGAGGTAGAAGTGAAGAGAAGGACAGTTGTTTAATGTGTACAGAGTTGAAGTTTGCTGAGACAAACAAGTTCTGAACATGGCTTGTGCAAATTCCTGAATCTGCTTGAAATAACTACAGTGTACATTCAAAGTGGTTCATATGGCAAACTTTGAATACAACCTAACACAGTGTCAGGCATTTCAAAAGAACAATGAAATTTAAAAATGGCCTTTGTGTGGTACTTCACACAGCAGTCCCAACACTCGAGAGCTGAGGGGGATAGCTGTGAATTCAAGAGCAGCCTTGGCTACATAGAAAGGCATATCAAGAAAAAAAATATCCAAATTAAAGAACTCACCCATTCTACATAATAAAAGGAGAAAGGAAGAATTAAATATGGGATTCAGAACAATGTCATAGGTCCGTTTCTGTGGGAACAGGAACTTAAGAACATCCTACTAGTGTAAAGCTGATGATTACGCTGAAAATCATCTCAGTGTGCAACAAACAATTCAATACTGGGTTAGATCCTGGGAC